CGGCCTTCTCCATGTCCTGGGAAGATACAGTATGAATTACGTGTAGTTATAACATTATTTGTCAAAATTATTTCAAATGTTTTTCATAACAGAAGAGGCAAAAAAGTACTTTTTTCCTAGAAATTCAATTGACATTATACTGCTCTTGTTAAAACTGAAAATTTATTCAATGTTATTAACATAATCATTCTATTTACAACTGCATTAATCTGAAAAAAACCCTGGAACATTTACAACTAAGTAACAAACTGAAAACAAAGGCTAGAAAAATGTACATATAATAGTCCATTAAAAGCACTTTTCATAAATATTTTTGTCTCCTGGTACTACATTGGTAGCATCTATCCACGATAACATATCTGAGAATAAACTGACATCCTAATGCTAAGCACAAACATATTAACAGCTATTTGACTTGCTTCCAAATGAAAACTAACATTAGGAAGTTTTGTGAAAATAATCTATCAGGTCAAAACAATTTTTCTAGTTTTTGTATCACAAAATTCTCATTAGCAAATTACAGTTGACTGTAGATAAGCAATTTAAAGTAGCATCGAAAAATTACAGCACCACCAATCCCCTTTAAAGACTTGCATTGTCTGAAGTATTGATCTGTTTGTCATAAAAACAGGGAAACAATCACAGATTATGGCAAAAGGTATACTGGGCACTTCACTCCCAAATCCAAATGAGATGTCTTAAGATGTCGCTGGTTAAGATACACAAGGCTTTTGTAAGCTTTACCAGAGGACAATAAAATAAAGTCTTTTGAAGTTAACAAAATTCTTTTATTTCCAAAAAGTGGTTCTTCCTTAAGAAATGCATTACTGCAACGTCTTTAACACAGAACAATACACAAGAGGAAAACTCAAGTAACCCTGTTCTCATTTGCTATCCCATCAATCCTGCTTGAACTACGGATGAACTCAGAATTAAATCCTTTTTTTTTTTGCTTACAAACTTGAAGTAAAAGATTTTTTGATGTCCTTGATTTAACATCCAATGCTATGTTTCCTTCACAAAGGCATTTAACCAGGTTTATTGACACATCCTTTTCTTGCTTCCAAACTCCTCGTTTTAATTCCTAGTAAAGACAGAAATGTTATTACAAACGGGAGACACTCATTCAATAAACATAAGCAGTATTTGGCCTACCTGGATCTCCTTTTCAGAGCATGTCTAAGAATTTTTACACACATTTCTTATCCTTATTGAAAGCCTAATTTTGACATGCAAAAAAGTAATCACTCTCAGCTCAGTAATCCAGCGTGCTAATTTCCTAGGAAATCCAACGATTATTCCCTCAATTGACACAAGAGACACAAGATGCTATTAAAAAGGTACAGGGGTCTACATAAAAATGTAGAAATATATGAAAATTTTATTAATCATTATTAGTATAGAACAGTATTGAATAATGAGCACTATTCCATTAGAGAAAGTTTATTTAATCCAAAAGCAGCTCTTCTTAGGGATTTAAAAGGTTTAAATTTACACTTTTCAGGAAGTTTTTTCTAATAGAACCTGAACATTTCCCGTGAATGGAGAATAACACATTCACATGTACTTGCTCTCTCACATCAGTTCTTACATAAAAACACATGCTGTAAAACTGGCATACTGCCTCTGCCACTGGGAAAATCTACATGATTGGACTATTTCATAAGAACAGCAGACAAACTTTAAACAACTTTTGATCTCCTCTAAAATTCCCAAGAAGTTGCACTAAGATAAATCATTAAGTGTATTTCTGAAGATTGAGAAAGGAGACAAGCAGGTGGAGATAAAAGGAAAATTTTACAGATTTAGGGCATTAAAACCTACTGCAAATACCAAGCAACGTAGTGCCATGCACTAGGAAAGGCAGAAGTTTTTCAAAAGTTGTGAAGATATATTTATTCACATCTACTGAAAATATTTGCAACAAATTTTGTTACAGTACATTTATATATCTCAGAGAAGCCATATAACGGTAGCAGACTTTCACAGAATACCACCTGATAGTATTAATGTGTTCGAAGCAAAGTAATTCCCAAGATATTGCTTTATAATATTTTGTGTCAGCCCAAAATAGCCCCAAAGTTTAAGTAATAAATTTCAAAAAAAACCCATATGAAAAATCAGTGTGATCTTATTAAAAAAAACCCAAAAAACCCCAAGCAGTTAAAAACAGGCATGGAAACTATCAGAGAACTTTATTTCTTGACAAACCACACTTGGCAAAGGTAAAATTGGTAATAAAGTTCCACCAAAAACTCTGCGCTTGTTGAGGAAATTGCTGAAGACATCAACTCCTGGGAGAAGGTTTTCCCAACAAGCTTGTTTAATGAGTTTTGATTAGATACCAATGAGATAACTGTTTAGACATGCAGATTATTTTTCAGTGAATGGATACACTAGTCAAGCCAATGGTCAAAGCAAATGGTCAATGGTCAAAGCCATCACACCACCACATGCTGTTTAAATGACAAAACTCTGATTGTGAACTTGCTGAACAGTTACATGCAACGTCATGGGTTCACATTTTGACACCTACCTGCTGTTTTAGGTACTCGCAAAGCTCTATGGCTCAACATTACTCTTTGTTGAATGCGTTTTGCAGGAACATGGTCTTGCAGGCTGTCTAAGCCAGTGTTTAATGTAGAACTGGAAAAATAGCCAGGAGAGTTTGATTTCAGTAAAGTGATTAAGCTACATTACAGTAGTTTAGGCCTTGCAATGTCAAAATACACTAAATTATATTATCCAGTATTGGTAGTTCATAACAAGGTAAAGAATATACATCATAAACAGATTAGTTCATATATGGATATTGTTCCCCTTTTTCCTTTTTAAAACTTTAAAAGAATGTTTCAACTGTCAAAATAAGAACTAATGTTGCCCCTTATGTTAAAGTGCAGACCAATATGCCACAGTTTTTTTAGAAACCACGGAAGCCAGTTTGATTGTCATTGCACAGAGATTATATGAAGAAATAATCCTAAAACACATTTGAAATCCTGGAAATGACCAAGCTGCGTTTATTGAATAAAATCATATTTTTTATTGCTATAATAATTTTTCTACAGCCTCCAACACAGTTGGAAGAGGTAGCTTCATAGCAGACAGTACTTTTCAGCCAAGCTGCAAAAAAGCTGTTACAGCTTCAAATTTATTAAGACAAAACCTCTATATTTTATAGCTCTGTGTGTGATGGACTTAAGATCTGCAGTGAAAATTATGAACCTATCTGATCTCAGCCTTTTATACTCACCTCACTAACTTTTCCGGTTCCCCCTCTGTAAGACAGCCTCATAAACAAGCTATTCCTATTTATGTCTCAAGTTTCTATGCTTTTCCCATTCCTCTAGTGATATTGTATTATTCCTTCTTTACAGTACCTTAACATACACTACTTCTCATAATAATTTTCTGCCTAAATGAAAAAAATATAGCAGGCAGTAAAGATTAAGACCTACTTTGCACCTGTCCTAAGATCTGTTCATGTACGCTTCTTGGAAAAGAACTTATGCCAGTAAGAATGTAATGCTATTTTGTAAAAGCAGGCTCTCTCTCCAGACTGACTTGTCTCTTATCCCTTGTTCTAGCAGTAGGACTGTTTCAAATTACATTTCTAATATAGGGAATATGTCTGAAATTTACATTTTTATTCTAATCTTAGTAGGAGATGAATGATTGGAGTGAACTACTTCAAACAGGGAAAGCATGGGGGAGAAAAGCAGGAAAAAGTAAAGAAGAGAAAGCAAAGAAGGTGCTATTGGAAAAGTAAAAGCATATGCCTTTCCTCTTTCACAAATAAAAAACTTTCACTCTTTCTCTTCATCACCAACTGCTAGACCAAGCCATACAGAGTTTTAATTTACAGACAGTTCACAGCCTGAGGCAGAAGAAATACTTCCCCAAAAAGGAATAAAAGTTAGGGATTCTCCTGTAGTGTTATTTTAACTTGGAAACTGGGAAATACACGTTCAAGGCACAGAAGGAATGGGGAAAAAAGAGCACAAAGACCTAGTCTTCGGTGAAGAGATTAGCATATAAATTTGGAACTCATTACATAGTTATTACATAAAAAGTATTCCTAAAGTCTGCTTGAGAACATTTACCTTCAGATAAATCTAGGTCAGTTACAGAGACCAGGTGATTTATTTTGTTGACTTTATATTCAACTATTTGAAAAGTAAAACATATGCGATGTTCATCTTTCCTCATCCTAGAGCAATTCTGGCAAAACTGTTTGTAACAGTAATTAAGTAGCAATTAGTACAGGAACATGAAACTGGATCAGGTATCTCTGTGAAATAGGAAGATTTTCTATCTTAAAGATGCTAATAAATCAAAAAGTGCTAAAGTTTCTTCCATGTGCTATGATTAAAGTTGTTCCAACAGTCTTGAAACATTCTTCAGAAGACCTATGAGGTGGCAGCTCCACTCACTGTCTAGCAACAGGTGACTCATTATGGTTTTAAATAGGTTGTACCAACTTTTGCTTTTGGAAAAAGACAAAAAGAAAGGAAAAAAGAAAAAGAGGAGCGCGCTGTTTCATCAGTACTGACCTGATAGCTAATCCTTAAATACACCAACCAAAAAAAACCCCAAAAAGTACAATTCCATTTAGTGTCTATCCAGTTTCAGCTTTTCTGATGCTCCTAGTAAAAAGCCTTTTTGAGGGTCATAAAAGTGATTAAATGGGAGTTTTTCCCAGAGCAGACCACAATAATGAAGTCATAGTAACTGAGACTGGAAATGAGTTATCAGAAAAACAAAGGCACTGGCCACATAAGTATTGTTAAGCATTTTCTCCACTTACTATTTTGGTAGTTTATAATGTGATCCAGCAAAGGCATAACATTTTCAAGCAAATTAGATTTTTAATTGATGATGGAATTTCTTTTCAGAATTGTGTGTCATCTTTCTATTTTGAGTAGACAGCAGATATGGAAGACACGATATTAGTCTGTACGTGTTAAAACAACATAAGTTCCTAAACTAAGAGTAAAAAAAGATTCTGCTCAACTTGGCAGGGTGGGGGAAATGGAGTTGTCAAACATATTTGAGACAGATCTCATAAGCAGGTCCACATGACTTGTATAGGAGGTTTTCAGACTTCAAATACATACCAAAACTGAAGTGAGAATATAAGAAATGAGTACAAATGTTTGTATATAATAGTTAGCGTAATCTTACCTTAATGCATTTCTTTTTCTCCTAGCAGCAAAAGTCATTGCCATATACGAGGGCTTGTTAGGTACTGAAGTAAGATTTTTGGGTTTTAAGGAAGAAAGACCAAGTCTGAAATCAAAGAATTATATTTTTGTAAAATCTCTTCTGGGTAGAAGCAAAATTTTTCTTAACTGTAAACATATGTTAATTTGAAAAACACTGGAAATTAGTCCCAACATCATTACTTGAGTCAGCTTTGCAGAACCGCACATATATGGCAGCTTTAACAATGGCATCTATTGTTAAAGGCATCCAAGGTTAAGGTATCCGTTTTACAGACAGGAAAAGTAAGGCTTAAAAGTAAATGCCTGAGGCATAAAAAACAATTTCAAAGGTGCTATACTTTTTTAGCACATATCCTGTAAAACAAGATAATCTTTCAACTTCATCTGTTGTCACTAACATACCACTGATTTCAAATAATGGCAGAATTGATTCTGATGCCAATAAAAAACGAGGGTTTGATTTTCAAAACGTTGTCTTTACAAATAAAATTCTCATCAATAGAAAAACCCAGCTGTGAAAATAAACAGGATTAAATTGCTTGGGTAATACTCCTTGCCCATATAAATGGAAAATACCTTTGCAGAATGTTATTGCTGTGTGGCTGTGATGGCTTCACAGATGAGTCAGTAGATGCTACAGTTGTTTCATCTTTCTCTTCATAGAGAATTACTGTCGAGTTGATGTCAGCTCCATTGCACTCTGGGATTATGTCACATGTAGAGTCCATAATACGTGCTTTTTTCACAGATGTATCTATATTACATGCACTGGCTTTCTCAAGGCCTGCGAGGTGTAAAGCTTTCTTTACCACAGTCTGCGTACAGCTTTCTTCAGGCTTTCTGCTAAGTTCTGGTGTATACACAATAGGGCAGACGTCCTCGGTCAGAGAATCCTCCAGATGGCTGGAATGCTTTGGTGCAGCAGGACTTTGAGCTGTGAATGGAGAGTCCATTAGCTTCCGCCTAGTTCTTTTCCGTGGTGGTACTACATATCCTACTATTTGTTGTGTATTTTTATTCATTCCTTGTGATGGTGTACCAGGAGTTGTACCTGTGCAACAAAGGCAACAACAGTTAGCACATTTATCAGTATTTAGTACTTATATCTTGCTTTTTCCTTCCCCCCTCTACTGATAATAAGCGTGTTTCAGCAGAGAAATTACAAAAACTACTTATTTTGTTTATATATTAATTCGATCATATAACTGAAAATGTTTCTACTGCAGCATTGTCCAGATGGTAGAATTTGTTCTGTGGCACTCCAAGTATTATAAATATGCATAGGCTGATTGAGTTAATCCCAGAGATATTACAAGTAATCACAAGTAAGATATGACACATGACAACAGGGAATGGAAGAGCAAGAGTATTGAAAACAATCACATTAACATGACACAAACTTCTTACTTCACGATGGTACTATCACAGTAATAGGCAGCTGCCTCCTGATCCCGGCCATTTTTCCCCTAACCATGCAGCAGAAAGAGAGACTGTTGTAAAAGGAAGGACATAGAATCACTTGGAGGGACATAATTCTTTGACGCTGCAAGTGAGAAAGCAGTGTTTTGGCAAAGGGGAAAGAAGAGTTACTTGGATGATGTGGTCTCAATCATGATATGAACTCTGGGGGAAAAAGCAGTCTTCACTAGAAACCCCACCCTTAAACATAACAAAGCAAGCAATGCAGCAGCAATTGGCTGTTCCCATTCATCCTGGTTCATACTGTTTTTCCCTGAAGTGTCATAATATTTTTATTTTCAAGCAGGTGCTAATAAAGACAACCTCCAAACCTAGAAAAGGCCTTTTATTCACGTTTTCAATGAAGGAGAATCATTTTAGGACACAGACCACTGTTCAAACAGCTAGGCTAGTGGCGACTTAACTGGTTTGTAACAAACAATTAAGAACTTTAAGAAGACCCCAAAACAACAACAAATCAAGAGTAGGAGAGGGCTGTCAAAACCCAAGCACTCGTATACTTTTTTATCTTTCAGTGAATATTTAAGAAATGTCTATGGTTTATGGATTGGCCCCACTTCAGCTAGTAGCCACAGCATCATACTTCCCCTTTCTGCACTGCCTACTCCATTCCTATGACCAACTACACAAGAACTCCTGCTTTTGAAATTGCTGACAGTTACTCAGGAATTAACTACGGTATTCATATAACTGTGTTGATAAATATTTATTTCTTCTAAAATTCCATTCTATTTTTGCCTCAGAGTAAGAAAGCTAGTTTGAACTCCTCAGTCTGAATGCTTCTTTAGTTCTTTTGCGGGTTAAGACTTATGGCATTTTAGCTGTTCCATAGATGTTCTTTGAAGAGGAGAATTTATTAAAACACATATTGCATTATTCTCCCCACCCCACCCTCTCCAGTTTGATTTCTAACAAGAAGCAAAGCTTAAATAATTGTAGTCTTTTCTCTGTTTACCACTTCAGTCCTTGTTTAATTTTGACCTCATTGCCCTATTGCAACCCAATTTGCCATAGGCAAGAGGCTTTAAAAATGCCAATTCCAAAAGCTGCCTCAGAAATCAGATGTCTTAAGGAAAAGGCCTAAATAACAGCCTCATTGAAGGAAACATTCAATGGATGAAAGGATGATCTCTGCATCAGGTTTTTTTTGTACATGCTTGGGACTAGACATACCATATGATGGATTCCTCATGCCCAGCTACAAGAAATGATGCCCAATTAGAAGAAAAATTAGAGCTGCGAGCAGACAGGAAAGGATTTAAAAACTACCATGAGTCCTAGAAGCTTTCTGCGGGGATGGAAAGCACAAAGTGTGGACAAGCAGCAAGTAAATTAGATGCTAATATATAGGCCACAAATCCATTATATGTTGCCAAAATTTAATTCAATAATGAAACCATTGAAAAAAAGAAAGCAAACATTTGTTCCTCACTCAAGGGCTCAGATTCAGAAAGAATAATGTTTTAACTACTATGGTTCAACAAATACGCAACATTTTATCCAAAAGTGCATAAACAGTAAAAGCAGGTTAATTTAAGCTAAACTGCTTATGGGAAAAGATGCCTGGTAACTGTTCTTGTAATTGAAAATTCTATTATGCTGTTTTCAGCCTTAAAGAAACATACACAGAAGCCTGAGAGGACTCCTTAACATGCAATAACCGAATTGTGAACATGTGCATGTGTGTGTACCTGTGTACAGTTCATTATACATGTGTAAGGGATTTTTTTTTGCTTTAATGCAAAATACATTATTTTCTCATACCTCCTACTTCACGGTCACCAGGTGAAGTGCAGCAAGATGTTGAGACACAGTAGCTTGATTGTCATCTGAACATTAAGCTGATTTAGAATATTCTCCATGAGCAGTGAATTGGAAAGGGTAAGAAAAACAGGGCCTGCATATTCCCCAAATAATTTTAAACTTCCACCAGGAATAATATAGGCCTACTTCGATGAAGAAATTTTTCACCATGACTTGGTAGGATTTTGTTGGTAGGAAGCAAGAAACTTCTCTAATGAACCCCTTTCAATATGTACTCTGTGACACTATCAACAATGTTATGCTTCATGAATGTGTTTGCTCTTTAATTTTGGCTTTGTGAGTACAATATTATTCTCCTGCATGAAAGACTAATATTTCTTTCTTAAAAAAAAAAATTATTCTGGCTATCACAACCAAAAAATGAGGCCAAAACTTTCTGTTAAAGACTTCATTGACAACTTATATTCTTAAATCCAAGAGTAAGCTTTAGTTAAGGATTCCAATATAGTGTTTGGAATAACTATCAATTAAACATTTCAGGACACATACATTTTAAAATATTAATTTATTAGGATTTCCTCCTGCTTATATTCATCTGAAAATGTATGTTTTGGAAAAAATATTACCTAGAATTCCATTTGTCTGTATTTACATCAGGACAGGAAGGTTCCATTTTTCAGAAAGTTTGCTTACCGTAAGACACTGAGGTTTTGCTAATGTCCTAAAGTTACTAGGAAGGAAGTCTGATGGAGAAACATTTAGGTGAGAGTGCCAAGCTTTAGAAGCTTCTCCAGGACTAAATACTGGAAGTATTTTTAAGTTAACAGTAAATGCAAGCATTTAAAACCATGCACTAGATAGGTAAAGAACACAGAAGTATTGCCAACATTAATAATTTGTTGAATTTTATCATGATGAAGATGTTTCATAGTACATTGCACAAGTAAATTCATAAAAAGACATTTGCAGTAATTCTATATAGGGCAAATATAAGCTACAAGTAAAAACCAAGACCTATTTTTAAAATCTATTTTTGAAATGAAACTCATTGTAAAATGAGGTTAAAACAAAACTAGCCTTTCTTGCCAGTTAAGTATTGGAAAGCATAAAATATTCAAGTGGCCCTTCTCAGAGCTTTTTGTGAAAGCATTAAGTGGGCCCTAACAAAGTAAACAAGAAGGTAAACAAAACCAACACCAGCAACACGAAATTTAACTTGATTTCACTAAATAACATAAAAGAAATGAGGTGTCCAAAAAAACCCAAACCCAACACCCCAATTTCATGTTAGCTTGCTGTTACTGAGTATATGGCTCCAAACAATTTGGATCTAAAGTAAAACAGGAATACGGCAAGAAAAACATTTAAAACCACAAAATAAAGGAATCCCAGTGTTTTTATTTCTGTCTTAAGGGAAGCAAGATACTTAAGCCAGTTGCTGATTTTTTGCAGATGCTTTTAATAGCTCCCATTGAGAACTTTAAACAAAATGGGCTCAGACTATATGTTACGAAAACACTCCTCCTATAGATTTCAGATGACTTCAAATGGTCATGATATCACAAGTTTCTCTTTAAAAATAAACTACCCTTTTTTTGGGAGAACCTGTTTTCAAATGCTTCAAAGGCTACTCAGCATTAATAAAAACATTGATATTCAGGAGGCATACTTTAAGATGCAGATATATAAAAATTCTTATTGAAAACTTATTTCCACAAGCTAACACAACAGTAACATGCCTCAAACTGAAACACCAGAACTTGTCTTTCCTAAATACTGAATTCATACCATTTTAGTTGAACTTGGTCTAAAAAAGCACTAAGTGTTTCAGCAAACAATTTTAGAAAATGTGGTCATCTGTCATTACGTGGCTTATATTGCAATGAGACAGCTAAACCCAAGAACTAACTAGCTCCCCATAATCCTATTGAAGAAGAGGAAAAAAAAGCTTTAGAACAAAGGACTTAAGTAGTCTAATTGATAAATAAGAACTTCCAGTGTTAAAGCAAAACAGAAGAGACCCATATCATAGGAGGTCATGCCTACTAAAATCAAGTATTTGTACTGCAATTTTAGGCAATGCTTTCTCCCAGGATACTCAATTTTAACATGTTTTTGTTGAGTGCTTATGGGTGGCATGTATGTGTATGTTATATGTTCTAGCCCATGCTTTGTCTTATTGCCCAAGTATTTCAATGGGTAAAAACAGGAAGTTGAAACAACAGTACATTCCTTGTTAGAAACAACTGAGATAATATAGAATACAGTAATAAAATATCACAGATTAGGTTAATACGGAATTATTTTAGTTCTTGCAGTTACAAACAGTAGATACCCTGTTGATATCACACACTAAGACCAATACTTCCCTCCCACAGAACACTTACACTGCTGAACTCACTGCAGCGTGCTGTGACAAAGCCCATGAGTATAAATGGGTTACAAAATAAAAATCTGACAGACTTAGAAGGTAGATGTCAATGGGCAATTATTACATGTGGTTGTTTCAATGGGATTTCCCATTGCACTGGGACTTGAAACTGCAGGTCAGCTGACTCCAGAATTGTCTTATCTGTCTTTAGTAGTTGCCAGTAGGACGTACATAATACAAGGTACTTAAGACAGCATAGTCGTGGACACAGTATATTCATATTTTCTTAAAGAACAAGAATAACTCCTGAATGGATGTCTAATGCTGATCATTAAGTAGAAAAGTGATGACAACATGTAAAGACAAGTAACACGTTCCAACTCCCAAAGTCTCCAAACATGTTCCATAGTAAGGCAGGGAAATGATAATGTTTACAG